GTTGTTGTTGTTGTTGTTCTTGTTGGTGTTGTGCAGGTCGAAATTCAATTTTGAAGTAGAAAATATAGAAGTGTTTGGTGAACCAAAAATGATTCTGCCTAAACAAATAAAAAGGATATGCAATTGCAGGTCATATAACTTTCTTCTTCTTCTTCTGCTTGTGGTTGTTGCTGTTGTTGTTCTTGTTGGTGTTGTGCACGTCGACAGCATGGAGCACGGTTATGGCACCCAGGTGTTTGTAGTCCTGGTTGTTGTTGTGGTTGTTGCTGTGTAGGTTAAAAGTGTTTGGTGAACAAAAATGATTCAGCCTAAACAAATAAAAAGGATATGCAATTGCAGGTCATATAGCTTCCTTATTCCTCTTCTTCTTTTTCTTCTTGTGGTTGTTRCTGTTGTAATTCTTGTTGGTGCTGTGCACGTYGACAGCGTGGAGCACGGCTATGGYRCCCAGGTGGTTGTGGTCCTGGTTGTTGTTGTGGTCGACAACGTGRATCACGGCTATGGCGCCCAGGTAAGTGACGCAGGTATGACCTCCGCCCCTCTTYTTCTYCTTTTTCTTTTTCTTGTTGTTCTGGTTCTGGTTGTTGTTGTGGTTGTTGTTGTTGTTGTTCTTGTTGGTGTTGTGMAGGTCGAATTCAATTTTGGAGTAGAATATGTAGAAGTGTTTGGTGAACCAAAGATGATTCTGCCTAAACAAATAAAAAGGATATGCAATTTCCGGTCATATAGCTTTCTTCTTCTTCCTCTTCTTCTTCTTCTTCTTGTGGTTGATGCTGTTGTTGTTCTTGTTGGTGTTGTGCACGGTGACATCGTGGAGAACGGCTATGGCGCCCTGGTGGTTGAGGTCCTGTTTTTTTTTGTGGTTGTTGCTGTGCAGGTCAAAAGTGTTTGCTGAACCAAAAATGATTCTGCCTAAACAAATAAAAAAKAAATGCAATTGCAAGTCATATWGCTTCCTTCTTCTTTTTCTCCTTCTTCTTCGTCGTCATCGTTTTCTTCTTCTTCTTGTGGTTCTGGTTGTGGTTGTTGTTGTGGTTGTTGTTGTTGTTGTTCTTGTTGGTGTTGTGCAGGTCGAATTCAATTTTGGAGTAGAAAATGTAGAAGTGTTTGGTGAA